TGAAATTTTTACTTAATATTTTTTTATTTTTTTGTTAAAATTAATAAGCTTTGTAAGATTACAGCATCAATTTATGCAGAAAAGAAATCTCCACTTAAAGTAAAATCTCACAAGGAACAAATTTTGATAGAGTACAAGAAAGTTCATAGGCAAATTTCGAGATAAAAGCAATTTTTTTAAATGAGCTTTATTTTTGAATTTTACGTTATATCTTGACCATGCAATTTGATCAAAGATGACAGATCGGCAAGCTACCGTCAGCCAATTTTTGTGAAATCGATTCACCTTATTTAATTTAATTAGATAAACGAGTACATGTACTATAAGGGAGGAGGAAGGAATCTTTATTATTAGCTAATATTTGTCACTCCCCTAAACTCTCTATTAGTAAACCGACTAAATCTGTGGAACGCTTCTTTTAAAACCGGTTCATATTTTGATAATCCGGCTAGGGCTAGGGTCGAAAAATTGTATTTCAATAAACCGGCTGAGTTTCATATTATCCAAATAAGGATAAATGCAGAATACATATCGATATCGATATGGTTGCATAATGTATGTAATAATAAAAAACTAAAAAGCCGGTAACTTTGGGATGCGATATCTGACAAAAATAGGAACATTCAATCTTTCTAAACTAGGGTAAACAGTGTTTGCCATTGATACGTATCTGCCACATATATTCTGTTGATTTTTCTTATTCAGAGATCTTATCTGCAAAACTATACGAGGATTTTTTGCATCATTATTTGGTTCCAGGAAGTGAAGATCTTCAAGTTAATAAACATCTTTTACGATGTAATAGTGATAATTCCACAATAGTTATCCGAAGTCAATTCAATAAAATAAACAAATGGATGAAGACGAAAATGAATCAGTTATTTGTAAAGTTACTACCACGAGGTAGTCAGGATGGATTAACCGCTTCTGATTTTCATCGACTTTACGATAACAAAGATAAAACTATTGAGGTGATTCGAATTATAAAATCTGAAAAAATAATTGGTGGATATAATCCTTTGGAATTGAATTCAATTGGAAAATATTGCTATACACCAAATAACTTTTTATTTCGTTTTGATTCAAATGAATCCGGTGGATTTGTAAGCAAAAGTAAAGGAACTAAGAGTATAGGATGTTATCCATTTTATGGACCAATTTTTGGAGGAGATGATTTGGTGTTATTTGATAAAGATGATGGTAAAAATTATTGTCAACAAGAAGATTATGAATACGTTTTGCTCGGGTGCAAATCTGCCTTTAAAAGCAAAAAGAACTTGATTAATTACTTCTTTAGAGGCAAGAATTCCTTCGCCGAGAGCTCGGTTATAAGTAGAATAGCTTTTGAGATTGATGATTATGAAGTACTTTAAATTGTAAATAAATTTCCAGATATCATGATATCGGTATAAAACGGAATTTTGACACAAAATGGAATAAATCGGTATAAAGGGAATTTTTATAGAAAGTTATATTACAAAAAATCAGTTTTGTTGAGTGACTATCCCATCCCATTTGATCTACATGTATTTAGCAAAAACGAATAACTGCATATATTCGTGCACAAGTGTTTTCTGAAGATTTTCGTGCCAGTTTGTAGTCATTCAGTAAATAGAACATAAAACAACTATTCTTTCGCATATTAATACAACAAGTCGTAAAAACTAAAAGAAAATCATAATCATATACTAACAACACAACAAAATATTACTTGTCAATATATTTTAGAGCTAATTAATTTCATCTACGGAATTTTACAAGAATGGGCAATTTATTGTGGTATTAATTTAAATGAAATCGAATTTGATAATTAGATGATTTTGGAACAAAATTTTATATCAATTACTCCTCTTAATGAAATAGTTATCAAATATATTCGGTTACCGAATTCATCAGATAGGCAAAATCTTAGTCAAGAATCTCTTCGTGCACTTACAATTATGTATTATAATAAGAATCAAATATCATATAATTAATAAAATTCAATTTCGGAATAAAATGGAATTTTCAAAGTCAAAGCAGAATTTTTTCAAAATCATGACGGAAATTTTCCAGGTTCCTGACTCCTACCCCCAAAAAATCACCTGATTAATTAGTTTCTTTGCCCTAACGAGTTTCACGATTACATTGAAAATTGAAAATTTATTTCATGCGTTTCTGACAATTACATTTATTTCAATAAATAAAGAGCTTGAATTTAAAACCGATGTGGCTGAACCGTCCAAGACTGCCGACTCTTGACTCCTTTACATCCATATAAACGTATACACATGAAAAATTTGTTTCACAATCGAATATTTGAATACAGTGCTTAACACTCCCTGTCACTTCTTTTAATAGCTAATATAAATAGAACTAGAATTAAAAAATTGGTATAGGAGTGTATTCTCAAATGGATACTTGTAATATACAATATTGGAGTCATTGGGCCTTACCAGCAATTATTTATTTATTTACACCTTTACACCTTAGGAAATACATGTATATAATATGAATCAGGTCAATCAACCACAAGCACAAGATCAAAATAATATTTCATTATATTCGTAAAAATCATTTTTTCTCTTCGGTCTGTTTCTTCATTATTATGTTTTTAATTATATATGGTATAAGACGGAAATTCTTTATCAATAAAAGCAAGCGTTTATTTTTGTATTCCGTTGTTTTAAAGTATTGAAAGCTTTATAATTAGACCTCAAAAGACGATAAAGTGCACGTGCAATCATATAATAAAGTGAATTTTTTTCTTTAAAAAACGTGCCGTTTAGACATCCCAAAAAAGTTAATATTGTTGTGTTTTGTTCACACGTTTTTTATTGTTAACGGTAGCGGTATTAGTTTATGATGCATGAAAAAATAGCATGCAATACTACATTCTTTATTTATTTTGGAGGATTCATTTACATTGCAAATTTTAGGAATGAGTTACTATCATTAGAATGGGTGTCGAAAACATGCAATATGGTATAGGTTAATGAATCTAAAGTCAAATTATATCCGAATCATAGCCTATAGTTTAGACACACTAAGTCTTGATTTATATGTGAATTCAACACTGAATTAAAAAGCAAAACGAATAAAGTATATATCGATTTATAAATTTCATATTTCTTCAAAGCCTTATAATACTTATCAACAAAACTCGGTCTCTATAAATTTATCCCACCTTTTGGGTATATATATAAGAAACAAAAATAACACTAAACGAAAGAAGTTAATTTAAATAACTCACTATTGTGTTTTTTATCGGTATTTCTACATGTATTATGTAATTGTCTAAGTTCTGCAACATCGAGATATATATATATATTCACCAAAAGATGTTGGATTTAGAAAATATGCGTGGTTTAACGTTAAAGTTAATATTCAGTCAATTAAACTTGAAACATAATCTATTTTTAACTATATGACATGTACATGGTTCAACGGAATAAAAATTATGGGTGCATGCGACATGTAAAACTTAAAAAAATATAAAAAATAAATGGGTAAAAAAATATATGAACGAAATAATCAAGTGCGACACAGAACAAAAAATAGGACTAAGTCGTTGAAAATTTATCAACTATAAGTTTGAAGTAGTATACTCAAGGTATCATTTTGGTCTTGCTGATTTGGATGAATAGTCGTAAAAGTATTTCCATTAATAATGTATTGAACCATGTTTATATACATTGGGGTGGGAGATGGCGTCGATTGCAATTGGTTGTTCATTTTCTCATATAAATCAATGATAAAGTCAGATATTGTGTGTAAATGCTAATTTTTGTGAGGGGCTTGGGAATTTGCAATTTGTTATATTATAGACGAACAATTCAAATAAATGTTCGATAATAAAGATATCTCATTTCGCGAAATCAATACCAACCTTTAAATATCAAATAGTTGTTCTACTTTAAATTAAACGAAAATACATATATACTCATTAACGTTTCTGCTGTAAGCCAACTGATTTGGCCTATTCTTCCGCAGTGTCTTTTATGACAACCCTTAAAGAGAATTCAGAAACACTCAGTAAACAAACAGTCGGCGCAAAATGCCTTAACCAAAATGGAGAATTCTAGTAAATGGATTACGCACATCGCGGTTACGCGGAAGAGCAGAGAAATCGCGCCAATATAGCTTCTCATAATAGACATGCAAAAATTTTACGCAATTCTGATCATTCGGAAATTGTTAACTTAGTACAACTTTAAGATTCGCTAACCAATTGTTTTCCGTGGTTTCTTCACTCTTTGAATGAACATTTGTTTGTCGTCTTCCTAGTTCAGTGAAATTTTATTTTCTCTTGTTCCCATTTAGCGTTTTGATAACTTTGATAACAATATCAATGGCGATAAATAATCAATAAATATGATGCAATTATTGTTTGTGTGATGTTCACATACAGAAAACGTGTTTGTCACTTTTGGATCTACTGGACATCAACAAGTTTAATCACGTAGTGGAAGAATTTTCTGTGTTAAAGTTCGTAATACATGTACATGTATCCCCTTTAACGTTAGTGTTAGTTACATGTATTAACCAAACGATTATATTGGTTAAAGATCTACGTATAGATCTGTAAGCGGAATTTTGATAAAGTCAAATATTTGTCGCGTACCTCTTCCATTTTAATTTTGGGAGACGATAATTCGACATCTGATTATTATATCGTCTTCCGACGCGAATCTAATGTCGGTATTTTTGGCTCAAATCCAACAATCGGATGTCGAGTTATCGTTCGAATGGAGGTGGTACGCGAATATTGATAGGTTCACTTTACATTCGCACCTGACATATCCATATGTATCATTTCTCAACCGATTCGACGTTCGGAACCTTGATATATACGTACGTAAGCCAAATATATTATAAAGTGAAAAGTTAGAATATAGTATAATAGATTTTATAAAATGATCATGATGAGATACAGTGCTTGATTTGATACTTTATAAATAACAAATTGACAATGTGAATCTCTTTATCTGTCCCAAAGAAAGAAAACATTTTGTTAAAACATGCAATTTGAACAAGAAAATGACTCTCCTGTTTCTCTCTCTTCCTCTTCTCTAAATACATTGTCGTCACCCGGAATTCGAATAACTCGCAAAGTAATCGACAACCATCTCATACATGCCCTCAATCAGCCGGGAAATCGTATAGTCCAAGCATTACCATTTATCTATTATGTGAATAATCTTATCATACTCTTGCGTGAAGCAGGATTCGCTTTTGTGATTCAACAACAACGATCCCGAAATGCATCACATTTTAAAATTATTGATCTCATTGATGACTCAAAAAGAGTAATAGATTTGGAATAATTGATCATTATATTCTAGTGTATTTTATACTGTATATATGTAAAGTATAAATAAATATCAATATTTATGTTTTCACAGCAATTTAGCTAAGAATTGTAAAGATAAAAAAGCAAACTTTATGTTCTAAATAAAAATTACTTCATAATTTTCAATAAAACAATTCACCATTTTATCAGTAGATTGTTTGTTTACTTATCAGGGGAAGTCAACTGCATCTTCGAGATTGCTGGGTGTGACTGATTTACATCAAACAATAATTGAAATGCAGATTCTCGAGTCTATTATGAAGTGAGATCAATAACAAATTAGGTTAATAAGCTTGTTTTACTTATTTATAATCAATAATAAAAAGACATTTGAAGGGTTTAAGTTCAGTTATGGAAGTCCAATGACAGTTTATAAGAAAACGAGGTAAACAAGATATAAATCTTGTGTTTATGAATCTGTATTCATTATCTGTTATTTAAATATGAAAAGTAAACTGCAAATTTGTGAAAGTGACAAAATGCAAAAAGATAATATTACATTTACGCTTAACTCCCAATAATATCAACACTTTCAATATTTAATACAATTACATATACAAAGTGACCCTCGTTATAATAGAGCTCGATAAAGTAAATAGTAATTAAGATGTCTTTGTTTAAAGATAAATAAATAAATAAACAGATAGTTCATTAAAGTGGTGCAATATTATTTATTGATATTAATGAAACCATTCTTATTCAAATTAAATATTATAGTAATTTGTTATTTTTATGGAATTATTCAAGGAAAATAAAATATATTAAGTTTTTAATAATAATTTTACTGCTGTATTCTATTATTGAGATAAATTTGCTCTTCCAAAGATATATCGTACCAATGCCGATATTGACCAATACTTTAATTGATAATTCAAAAATACTTTTAGAATCATTTCAATCTAAATAAGTATGCAAGTTCCATATTAATCAGTATATGTACATGTTGAATTTCCAACAATGAAATAAAAATTAAATTACACATATATCAGATTAATATTTAATCGGCTTCCATTTGATTCAAAATCACATTAATCCTTTTTGGCATTGGAACGACAAGCAGGAACATCAAATTTCTCAAATGTTCTCGATTGGATACAGGTCTGACAAATTCGCCGGCTAGTTGATAATTATAATTTTATTTTCCGTTAACCATTCCTTGATTTATTTGAGTTAATATTATAAATCTGCTTCGAAAGATTTCATTTTTTATTATATCTTTTATAAATGTTTTTGACATTATTCGGTGTCATTTGTGATGTCATTCATTGGAGATTTCATTCATATCGGTCGTGTTACACATATTTTCGTAAATAACATCCATGCGCATTATTTCGAATAACGGTCCTCATTAAGCTTAATGCAGGCCGAAATTAGAAATTACATCCCTGCGAAGTTGTTTCGCGAAAGTACGGTATTTGGGATTCCGTTCATTCGGGATTTTGATCTTTCGGGGTTATGAAAGTTATATCAGATCCATTTAAAATGTGTATGCTGGTTTGGCTGCAAATTTTTTTAGGGCAATTTTTTAATAATATTTAACTTTTAGGGCAAGAAAAACTAGACAGCACAGATTTGTCAATGTTTTAAATTTATTTTTGGAAGATTGGAAAACATTAAATTAAATGTCTCTTGGACTATAATACAGCTTCGAGATTTTTTATTTAACCCGACCCCGAGTTTTAAATCGAGTCGGGATTATTACTTAACAACACGAGTCCTAAATTTAATCAATCCGGGAATGACCCAAGTTATCATCGATATATGATCAATAATACGGCAAAAAAAATTCAATCACACGACCAAATTGCAAGGACACTAATGAAAAAATTCAAAGCAGAAAAATAGCTTGTCATGTTTCTCGAAATTTTATCTATGAAGCTTCTTTCTATTCTCTAATAAAAAGATGCTTTGCAAAATTTTACTGTATCTTCTCACTATAATATAATCTAAACGCTGGCCTTATTTAATTCCTAATCAAAATGTTATTAATATTCATATCTTGCGATTACCCATTAAAAAGTCATGTGACCGACAAAGTTTTGCCATTACATGTAGTATTTTTAAATTTCGGATAATTGCTGATGATCAACTGTTTATGACACATGTACTATAGCCCTGGAATTTATATTATTCCCACAGCATTAATATTATATCAACATGTGGAATGTAATAGTAATCATGCTTGTAAATGGTGTAAATTTATAATCCCACAGTATTAATATTATATCGACTTGAATAATATCATGTGATCATAGATACCTTGCGAGTGATGTAAATTTATATTCCCACAGTATTAATTAATAGTGATCATGGATATCTTGCGAATGATGTAAATTTATATTCCCACAGTATTAATATTATAATATTATATCGACATGTGTAATCATTATTAATAGTAATCATAGAATCTTGCGAATGACGTAAATTTATATTCCCACAGTATTAATATTATAATATTATATCGACATGAGTAACGTCATGAAATTTTACCTTGTAGCTTCAACATTTGATGTCATTTCGAAAAATTCTGCCTTCCCAAATATGATTTGCGCATTTTGTTATCATGTGACCAGAAACCGATATAAAATCAAGGGTCGCTTTCTAAGCTAGCTATCAAACACACGTTTTGTTCACTTTATAAATTACCTGTTAAACAACAACCAGATCACAGAAATAAACTATAATGTCATTGCTTAAAGCTGATACTCAACCGTTGACCAATCCTTCAGATTGGCCACATTCCGAATACCAACGACTTGACTTACTTCTTCGATGTTCGGTCTGCTTTAAATTCTTCCAGACGCCAATGATTGCTAAATGCGGGCACATCTTTTGCGCAAGTTGTATTGACGCATATATTACTAGAGACCTGGGGTGTCCGCTTTGTCATGCGACATGTTCTCTAGACGATCTTAGGAAGGAAACTATACTTCAAGATATAGTGAATCAATATAATATAATTAGGTAGGT